GAACTTTTCCATGACATTCTAATTTATTGAGATGCACCTGTAATAGGTTATTATTAGGAATCCGCATTGTGTGTTCATGGCTCTGTGAAGGAGTTAACACTGGGAATCTTTCAGAGTTCTGTCTACAAGAGCATAAACACGCCTCACATTCACGTAAGAGTGTATGTAAGCGTGTTTGCTTTTCCAAACAAATTTTAATTCAGTCTGGGAATTAGGCAGCCAGTCTGACGCTGCCACAGAGCGAGCAAGAAAAATCTTTCCATAAACATTCACCCACACGAAGACTTCCGGAGAGGGAACACCCTACCCCCTAAAAAATAGTGCTGCATGTCAACATACACTTATATTTGGTCCATTTGTGCCCATGGATTCATGTATTGAACACTGACATGTTTTTGTAAACTTTCAAAATGTCATGTTTAGTTGCTATTTTCAGCAGCATCTGATTTCATTCTCATTTCTAACAGAAGCTCCATACTGGACCCGTTCTGACCGGATGGAGAAGAAACTATTGGCTGTTCCCGCCGCTAATACAGTGAAGTTCCGCTGTCCTGCTGCCGGCAACCCCACTCCCACCATCCACTGGCTGAAAAATGGGAAGGAATTCAAGGGAGAGCAGAGAATGGGCGGGATTAAAGTAAGATAATATGAATATCGATTAAGAACATGTGCGTGTGCATGTGCAAACATGTGATTGTGTGTTTAGGATTACAGATAATAAGAATTGGCAATTAGTAATAATTTACACAGATCCACAACATCTGCTCCTTCAAGAGCTCTCTCTCTCTCTCGCTCTGGATTTTATTTGCTTGTCGTCTCTAGAGGATATTTCCACCTGTTGCTGCTCCTCTGAAAGAACAGAAGAACACAAAGTTCTGTGTGGTCTTGTTATTTATGTGTTGATGCGTTTGTGTGCAGGTGTTGATTGTGACATGTGTTGGAGGCCATCCACAGATTCTTCAGATTATTTTTATTTATTATTATTACCATTTTTGTAATCTCTCAGGGCTGTTGTTCCTTAATGCTCAATGAATTAACCCCCACAATTTAAAGGATAGTTCACCCAAAAATTCAATTGTTGTCATCATTTACCATCCTTCCAAACCTGTATGACTTTTTTTCTTCTGAGAAGCAAAACAGAAGATATTTTGAAAAATGTCTCAGTTTTTTTTTGTTTTTTTTTTGTGCATACAATGGAAGTCAACGGTCACCAAAGCTTTTTGGTTCTTTTATGTTTCAGAGAAGAAAGTAAGATTTGGAGCTAAATGAGCATGAGTTCATGATTTTGATTTTTCTGTCAATTATCCCTTTAAATACTACAGCATTATTAAACACAATTTTCCTGAAGAGGCACACATTTTCCCCACAGGAAAGAAAAATCATGAATTACATCTCTTTAATATCTCAATTGTCTCTTCTAAATAGCCTTGAGATGAAATTGACAACAAATTGAGACTTTCACTAAAGACGTTTACAGAATTTTCTCCGTTTAGAAATACATCCCCTCTTCAGATGAGATCTCAAACTGTGCTCAGATTTGCAAAGATATGAAAGTCTAAAATCAAAAGATCTCTATTTGATCAGTATTTCTCATGTAGTTCTTCCAAGACCAAATGACATAAGCTTTGCTATCCACATTCATTTTATAGCTCTATACTCCCACTGTATGTCAACAATTTGTTTCTAAATTAAACCGAATTTTAGGAGAAACACCTAAAACAAAAGCAACACTTAAAACACAACTGGGATCTTCTGAGTGACTTCTTTTTGCACACAAACATTCGCACATTCAGATTCTTTAACACGGTCTTACATTGCATTGTCCTATATGCATAGAAAATAACCAGTGTCCCCTAAGAGAGACATTTAGAAACAAAACATTGAACTCTCAACCTTTCCATGGCCATAGTGTGACCAGCCCGCCCTTACAAACACACACACGTATACACACACCAGGGGTCTGCACTGACCCAGGGTCATCCTTTATACCAGACCTGCCCTCCGCATCAGCACACTCACTGTTGGCCTAGAGATCTCTGACAGCATCATAATAGCTTTATTTAATACATACATACACAGGAGCTTGACAGCTCACCCTAAATGTCTTCTGTCTCTATTAAGACCAAGGCTAAAAGTCACGGCGTGCGTAAGGATGTTTGACCCCATTGTGTGTGTGGATATGACAGGCCTGATGGCTTGATAACGCACTCAACAATGTGTTAAAATGCAGAGCACCATGCGAAATTAAACATGAGGAGTTCCCTGAGAGATCAGCGTATTCCATCTTAAAGCTCCTTTTTGCATCGCAAGGGGAACAATAATGCTGTGATTATGTTTCTATTGGCACTGGAGACGGTTGTAAGTTCGACTAACTCTCTAGCTGACGGTCAGGGAGCATTAATTGCTAACTAAATGCGGTAAGATTGCCGAATAAGTTTTAAATGCAAGAAAATGAGTCACATGCCGTACTCTCATTGTTTGAAACGATCCATGGATTTGTTTAGACAGTTGACTTTCCCACAGCTTTCTCTTCAAACGGCCACACACACATACAAACAGACACAACTCCTCAGGCACTTTCTGTGCCTGACTGGCAGGGTTCTAAGGTCAAAGGTCAACTCTCTATTGAGTCATCAGAAGGGGGAGGTTCCGAGAGGGTGTTGTCGTGGCGATTTAGAAACCTTGATTGGCAGGGGGAGGCGTGGCTTTTGTCATGCTCACATATGGCAGCCGGAGTCGCATTGTTAGAATGCTAATCTGTGGCACTGTGGGTTAGTCACACCTCACGCACACACACATACTGATGTTTTGTGCGTTTGAGTGTGTCTATGCGAGCATCTCGCAACATATTTAACAGCTCAATTGACAAGCAAGCTAAGGAAAGACTGTTGCGTCCTCCGAGAGATGACTCAATTTCAGTCGCAGTGCTCTGTGGGACCACCGGCGCTAAATTCTACAAGCTTGGAGCATCAGTGAATCTCTAATCCACCGACAAATGTGTCTTTTGTCTGAAGGCCACAGCAGTGTATGTCTGTGGTATATTAACTGTTTAGGTGCAATTTGTTATTCATTTATGTTTAAAAAATATGTTTAAAGGTCAAGTGTTTAATGTTCACTTTTCTCATGTAGCCTGATTTTTTGCTGTTTAATATAAGGCTAGTCCACTTTGCAGCTTCTTTCCAATAAAGGTTCCGGTCACATTAGAGAAATCTGTTGGCAAAAAAGGTCCATTGTCCATTGTCAATAGTCAATAGTAGCAATGTATGAAGCACAGTTTACACAGAAGTTACTTTTAAACTAAGCAGCTTTCTGTTGGTCAACACTGCACATTTGCGTAACCATCTTGGATCCAATGTGAAATCTTCTTAGGGAAATCTAAGAAATCACCCTCATGCAAAATTCCCAGTCATGTGGATTCCTATTGAAATGACTGGATTTCTATCTGACTGACATAACAAAAAATTACCAGTTGTTGTTTAGGGTGGGTTTATATGACATAGTTGATACCACAATAATAGACTGGTGTGGAAAAAGTAATAAATACAGATTATTTCACAAATAAAACTCACATATATATATATATATATATATATATATATAACAAAAAACATAATTCTGCTCTGTAAGTCTAGAAAACTTACTTAAATGGCACAAACAAAACTCACAAACAACATTTTTTTGTGAAACCTGTTTGATAACATATTTTGGGACATTCGGTTTTCTGCCACTAGTGACCACTAAGTACACTTCAACTTTAAGTGGTAATAGTTCTCTTTATCAATATGAACTGACTGATATAGCCATGTAGTTCATTCGACTTTCATATTGGGGTGTGTATGATTATGGGCTGTCTGTACAATATCGATGGCTTCTTTTAATGGTGAAACAGGGTGTTATCAGTGAGACTTCTGTACTACTTTTCATTGAGAGAGAGAAAAAGAAACAGTTTTGTCATTTTAATGACTCGCCCTGGGGTCAGTTGTTTTTGCTTCCTGTCTCTGTGGGTCAAATTAAACAGCACCGCTATCGGAACGAGTTCACACCGTTTTGACACAACCATAAATCCTGGACATACACGTACAAACACACACATACTCAAGAGAGACCTGAGCTTCTTAGCACCTCCTGAGTCCATAAACTCCCAATATTCTCTGCACTTCACAATTCAGTTGAACAGAATGAATATCCACCGCACTGGTCTTAACTCCTAACCCCAGTCTGACATCAGAGTTAAAGAGGCTTAATATGTTAACAGTGTAATGCTGGGAGGAATTTGAGAGGCGCTTTTCAACTGATTATCAGACCTCTGCTTGGGTCTTTCTTGTGCAGTTTTTTTCTCTGAATCTGCGGGGTGCAGCATGGCATCGCAACACTTTTCAGCTCTTATCTTTTGATGAAGGATGGAATAAATGTACTAACTCTCTCCTCCCATTCACTCTGGATAAAGTGCTTTGGTTGATTGAGGAACAGCTGAGAATTCTTCACAGCATTTCTTTTCAGCAGACACATTGAGATAAATTTTGTATACACGCATACACACAAAATATCAGTGTCAAGTAAGTGTTAAATTAACTCTCACTCTCTCATAGTCTTACTGCACATGGGTAGTTGACATTAAATACTTTTGGGAAGATAAAGCGAATCTAGGATTTCACTGAAAGGGGGGCTGAGCACGAGTTGATGTAGCTCAGAGGAATATTTATTTCCTTTAGTCTAAAGTTGCTCAACAGTCAATATATATATTTATATTCATATATCATATCATATCATATCATATAAAAACCCTTCAAAATAATGTTTAGCAATGGTTGCTAAATAGTTATAAATACTTTTTTAAACTATTCTGAACGTCATTTGGCTATTTTTTATATTATATTATTTATATATATATATATATATATTTAATATTATTATTATGTAGTCTTTATGACCTTTTACTGGTTGAGCAACTGCATTAAATATTTGCAATAAATTTGTAATAAAAATTAAAATTAAAAAATAAGTCATATATATATATCTGTCTGTCTGTCTTTTAAACAAACCAATTTCAAGCAAACATTCAAAGATAGTCTTGACAAACTTTGCAAATGCAATTCAAATTAAATTGGGATTTATCAGCTCAGTGGATCATACTCATAACATTATACAGACACAGAGTTTAGCACCTGCTTTTCTTCAGCTAACAGAAAAAACTGAGGAAGGATTCAAGTGGACCTCTTATGTAATATCCCACTTTATGAATAAAACTCTGTCTCTGTCGTCCTCTCTCTGTAGTTGAGGCATCAGCAGTGGAGTTTGGTCATGGAGAGTGCTGTTCCATCTGACCGGGGAAACTACACATGTGTGGTGCAGAACAAATACGGAACAATCAAACACACTTACCAACTTGATGTGCTGGGTATGAACATGCAACACACACATTCTACCTAACTTACTGTAAACTTACCTTCATCGCTGACTGGCCTCCATCTCTCGTCCAATCAGAGCGCTCTCCTCACCGGCCCATTCTACAGGCAGGACTCCCGGCCAATCAGACGGTGGTGGTGGGCAGTGACGTCGAGTTCCACTGTAAGGTGTACAGTGATGCTCAGCCACACATCCAGTGGCTCAAACACATCGAGGTGAATGGAAGTCAGTATGGGCCCAATGGCGCCCCCTACGTCAACATCCTTAAGGTACAGTCATCTATAGTGGCACATCAGAAGAATGCATGAATGAACCACTTTTGATGAACCATAATTCAAACTTTTTTTTTTTCAAAAACCTTTACTATGCCTTTATATTAATATTACGATAATTATGATTTGTTACAATGACAATGATTTAAATATTTGTATTATAGTTTACTTTTCTCAGAGAATACAAAGATTTAATTAATTTTTTTATTGAAACTTCTATTATGAAAACATTTTTACTTTGTGCTTGTTAGAAAGGACCTTCATAGATGTTGAAGGCATTTTTTGAAATGTGTCGAAGTGCAGCTTAAATTAAACCACATATTAAGTCTCATGTGAGTTTTGAGTGACTCTTGGAGCACCTCCCTCAACTCCTAATCCCACCCATGTTAGCATCTCACTATAGACTCTGCAACTGGAGAATTGGGGGTATCTCGCTCTCTTTTTCCTCTCAGAGGAGTGGGAGAGGAGGCAGACATCTGTTTTAGGCTAAGCTAACCGCCGCGGTGGCGTCGCACAGTGTGACAGCTATTAGCTGTGCTACCCCACTCACTTTTCAGAGGAGAAGAAGGGAGGGAACAAGGGAAGAGGCTCCCAAAAAAGCCATGGAAAAAATGAGTGCGGGAAGCGAGGGAAGGGCCGAGTCAGCAGGCAGAGGAGGGGAGTGCGTCGGCTGGCCAGACCGCCACGCTATTTTAGACTCCCACATAATTGAAACAGTATTTTACTGGGAGCCGCGTGCCGGCTTTTCCCTTCCCCACACAGTGTCATCTGCGCACCCTCTAAAGCCTTCCCCAGACCGAGAGTGCTGAGCGACAGATCATGTGTGGCACAACGCCTGCGATCAAGGGAAAGAACGGAAACTGAGAATAAAGCAAATGAAGCGTCTGAAAGAAACACAGAAACAGATATGTGTGGATAAAGGGGCTGAAGACAATATTTGAGCATTTAATTATAACATATAGTGACGTCAGAGCGATGGCCTAGCAGTTAGTGTGTTGAGCTGTGGTGCCAATGCAGGTGGAATGAGTTTGAATCCAGTTCACAACATTTCCCAAGCTCGTTCCTGTTCTTATCTCGTAATTTTTAGTTTTTAAATACCACATATAAATCTTCATGGGTTGCATTTTTTATCCGCTGATATTGTTGTGTATGTGCATGCGCTGTCTGTGTTGATTTAGTTCCCTGATTACAAGGAATTGTGCAAATTTGTTAACAGCGCAACCTCTTGCTGCTTTCATTCAGTGATAATAGAGTAACATAAATTGTTCTAAGTTTTGTGAATAAGCCACAATCTATAAGAAGCCTGATTTATATGAAAGGAGATGTTTGCACTGAAAAGAATGACTTATGAAATATTAATGAAGCACCATTCAGAAATGAATTCTTTCGATTTCGACTGAATTTTGATTCAGTTTGTGCATTTGAATTGAGGTAGCAAACAGGAAGTATAATTGAAAATTTAATTTGACATTAAGAAAGTAAATAATAAAAAAAAAAAGTCAAAGAAATTAATATAACCCCCACCTCCCACCCCCAATTAATATAACATTAATATAACTGGATTTTGGGAGTTAAAATACCAGACTAAAATACCAGAGTGGCACAACTGTTTTGTGAATTTGCCCCTAAGTGTATCAGCATCGTAAAAAAGTGGTAACAAGTGGTAACAAGCTGTGCGAACATTTTAAATCATTAAGTGTTTGTTCATGTGTGAACGTGTTCGACTCTGACTAAGTGCGTGTGTGTGTCTCTGCAGAGTTTTGTCAGTAAGGTAAAAGAGGCCCACGATACGCTGACTCTGTATAATGTGTCAGAAAAAGATGCAGGCCAGTACTGGTGCAGAGCCCACAACTTTGTAGGCATGTCAGAGAATACGTTCTGGCTCATGGTGTCCCAGCCAGGTAAAAATCTTTCTCCAAACAGCTGATGTCAATTATGACTTTGGTGGCGTAGAGTCAAACTCCCCTAAACTCTCTCTATTTCTCCCTGCTCCTCTTGTCCTGTTTTCACACATTAAATAAGGTGACCTGATTCGAGGACTTGTTATGTAAGGCAAGTGTGTGTCTGCTTCATTTAAATGCTCACTTCTTCTTCTTGCCCGATCAATGCAACAAGGGCATGTTTAATAGGAGCCGAGACTGTGCCACATACACATACTTATTGATTTTCTCATACACTACACACAGCTCTCTTGAGTATTGGAAGACATAAAAAGGTGTCAGTTTTATCTAGTGAGAGGTTAAATTAGGATTAAAGCTGGTAATATTCTTCCACGCTCTTTTTTATGTTTTCTTTGCACCTCAAACAGATCTGGATGAAACAAAAGTGACCTGCTGCTGCTGATGGGGCGTTACATTTTCCACCAGGGTTTGGGGTTTTAATTTGCTTCTAGGTCATCTCTTCATTCATAGGAGTGTGGGATTTCTGGGTTACTGGTGATGGGTTAACTCAACTTCACTTGTTCAGATCTTCCTCCCGGTGTTGGGTGCTGTTCCTTTCTCAAGGGTTGTGGTTTACGCATCTGTCTTTCTCTCTCTCTCCATCTCTCCTTGCTTTTCTAGACTGCGGGAATAAATACTACGGATAAAGAGCTGGAGATTCTCTACCTGACCAATGTGTCTTTTGAGGATGCGGGGAAATACACTTGTCTGGCAGGGAACTCGATTGGCTATAACCATCACTCTGCCTGGCTTACAGTGTTACCAGGTATACAAGTCTCACTTTCTGGGGTTTCTTTTCACTCCTTTCTTCCCATGTCTCTACACTTCATATTTTCTCTAGTGTCCTTGAATGTTTTATTCATAGTTTTGCAGTTAAAATGTTTTTGAAATGTTTTCAATCATATCCTCTATGGACGTTAGTCAGGGCAGACAGCAGCCTCATTTTTATTCACGTCAAATTAAATATGCCACCCTGACTAAAGTCCTCTAAAAAACAACCTGGTAGTTTGTAATTGTTTTCAGATTCAAACATGACATACACAGAGAAAAAAGACGGATGATGAGTTTTTGTCATAGACTGTTTCCACTCGAGAACATACGCGCTCGTGATGGAAGTGCTTGTCGTGTTTACTGGAGTATTTACTGATGGCACACAGTCCCAGTATCTGGGAGGCCCGATTCATTAATTCTGCACTCATCCTGTTATCCTGCTCTCCGTTCTGCTGCTGTAATTAAAATAGCTCGTCTCGTGTAGAGACACTGAACTGTGGGGCTCATCACACAAGTGCCAAATAAGCCTCCCGGAGAGAGGGGCATTATGGGATGTTTGTACCTGCATGGGGGTGCGATAGCATGTTAATTAGTTTGTAAGGTGGCTGTAAATTAACTGCAGGCTTTCTGCTTTATAAATTCGAACAAAGAACAATAACTAATGATTGACTTAACATGATCTCTAATCTAACCATTAGTGGGGCTTGTTTCTAAAGTCACTCTGTTTTTAAGTGAAAGTCTCTAGGCTGTAGTTAGTAGCCAATTTATGTTGGGTTTCATGTTTTATTCAAGTTGATAAACTGAATTTTGTGGTTATGTGTATTAGAAACAAACAGGGTTCAAAATGAACCTTTTGCCACATAGGTGGATGAACTGAGAAAATTTGCTGGCCATAAATATTTATAATCGCCCCTCAGCAGATGTTGTTCCTCTGATTTTATATTCCACATGTGTGTTGCCACATTTAGTTCTAGAGATAAGTCTTTTAGGCAAATTTTGCACTGAGGAATAGTTGTTTGAAGATGGTTTGTATGTCTCTGAATCATTGCTTACATCAGTGAGGATCAGACATTATCACAATTTGATTTATGCTACATATTATGTTGCAGTTCCCAGTAAAAATTTTGTTATTTTCTCATCAAAGCAAAGCTCAGCAAATTTTACTTGCATTTGGCACTCGGACCCTGACAATAGACAACACTAATAGAAAAATTAGACATTTTAAAACATTTTAATCGATCGAGAAGTAGGTGCTTCTTTTGAATAAGTACTTATTTTGCTGCCATTTAAAAAATAGGTTCTAAATAGTATAAAGTTGTGTTGTTTGAATGTAATTCAGACGTACTACCACTCACAACAGTCATTGTTTCATCTATAGTATAACGCATTGGCACATTTGTCTCATAATGTCATCATTGCACATCTAACCTGTGCTCTTGTGCTCTTTGTCAGCGGTGGAGATGGAGAGAGAGGATGACTATGCGGACATCCTCATCTACGTGACAGGCTGCGTGCTCTTCATCCTCACCATGGTCATCATTATTCTCTGCCGTATGCGGATGAACACGCAGAAGACTCTCCCCATGCCGCCCGTTCAAAAACTGTCCAAATTCCCCCTCAAGAGACAGGTAACAGAAAGTAGATACAAGATTTGATCAGCCTATTTCCTATTTTCTCTCTCTCTCTGTATCTCCTCTTTTGAACACTTAACGTAAAGCTCTTTGGGCTATTCGTGTCTATGAAGATGTAGTTTGTGCATGTCAAATGTGATGTGGCAGGGGGATATTCATGCTCTCCTGAAGACTGTCAGTGTTTATATCATGTTTCTCTCCTGGTGAAACTGTCTCTATCTCAGTTGTTTTAAACATTTTAAATCACAGCAGCTGCAGCTGACACACACTGTCTCTCTAATCTCTGCCGCTCTCCCAATCTCTTCTTCTTTTCCCCTCAAGTTATTTCCAGCAATCAAAGTCTGACAATGTCACACTGGAATCAACGCAAACTACATAATCATGTTGCAGTGTTTTTCTTTTTCTTTTATTCAAATAGTGTGTGTGTGTAGGTGTGTATTTTGAGCTAGTTCTTATTTTAGAAAATATTGAGATATCAATGTCAGACAGTTTGATCTTCCTGCTGCTGACATACTTTCTCAGGGTCTCATGAAAGTCTACACAGATTTGCATTTCCTAAAGGAAATAGCAGTGCTTGCAAGGAACTAAAAGAATAGTGCTCAAGTTATAGGCCAACATGTCATTGTCATGACATTCACATTGTGTGTTGATTCTTGTGCAAAGACAGTTATGGATGGCTAAAAAGCCAGAAATCAATGCCAGAAAGAAACCAATCACAGTTTGGGATGACATTTTTACATTATGATGATGCCATTGCTGCTAGTGGGATTTAGAATTTTTAACTTTATATGCGCGTCAAATGCAAGAACGAAAAAAGAGAGCCAGTTGGGCTGCTGGCTCCCAAGCACCTTTTTGAATACAAGACAACAGCGAAACTTCAGATCATAGCTGTGTGTGCGCGGTGGTCTTCTGTGGTCCATTATGTGGAGATCTGACAACTACAAACCTCTCTCTCAGAAACACTCCTCTGAGGAACAAACACCATGTTTCTGTCTGCAACAAAACACTTCAGAGTAGTATCTTCTTAAAATAGACATCTTGATCCTTCCACTCTCTCTCTCTGTCTCGCTCTTACGCTGTCTTATTCTCTTTCAGGGACAATAACATGCTGTTTTTATTCTTTACCCAAGCAGGTGTCCTTGGAATCTAACTCTTCCATGAATTCAAACACCCCGTTGGTCCGGATCGCCCGCCTGTCATCCAGCGACTGGCCCATGCTGCCCAACGTTTCTGAGCTTGAACTGCCCTCTGACCCCAAGTGGGAGTTTCCACGTACAAAGTGAGTTACAAGCAGAAGTGAACATCAAATGACCATAATAATCAGACAGTTTTAGTAAACCAAGTTGTGTGAGTTTTGTCCCTTGCTGAATGATGATTCTGTTGCAGACTAACACTGGGAAAACCGTTGGGAGAGGGTTGCTTTGGGCAGGTAGTGATGGCAGAAGCCATTGGGATCGACAAAGAGAAACCCAACAAACCTCTCACTGTTGCTGTCAAGATGCTCAAAGGTGAGTGTGTGTCCAGATGGTATAAATTATATTTGTTTTTTACTGCATAAGAAATCAGTCAACTGACTTAACTTATGGATGAGTCAAAAAACATCACTCCCAGATCACAAAAAAGTCTCATTAATACAGTGGGTGTGCTTAATTTTAATAAAAAAAAAGATTTCTGTTTCAGATAAATGTTGTTCTTTTTAACTTTCTATTCATCAAATAATCTTTAAAAAAAAGGGGAAAAAGTATTTCCACAAAAATATTAAGCAACACAACTGTTTTCAACATGGATAATAATAGCATCAATTCAGCATATCAGAATTATTTCTGAAGGATCATGTGGCACTAAAGACTGGAGTAATGATGCTGAAAATTCAGCTTTGCCATCAAAGGAATAAATTAAATTTTAAAATATATATTACAATAGAAAACAGTTATTTTAAATTGTAATAATATTTTATAATATTACTGTTTTCTTAGATGACGGCACAGATAAGGACCTGTCGGACCTTGTGTCTGAAATGGAGATGATGAAGATGATTGGAAAACACAAGAACATCATCAACTTGCTAGGAGCATGCACACAAAATGGTCAGTACACACACACACAGATACAAGATAAGATCCCGGCTTTGATGTTTAGCTTTTTTCTTTTTTCTTTTAGTTTACAATTTTCTAACTGAATTATTTCTGACTATGTTCACACAGGTCCTCTGTATGTGCTGGTGGAATATGCCTCTAAAGGAAATCTTAGGGAATACTTGCGGGCGAGAAGGCCTCCTGGGATGGACTACTCATTTGACACTTGCAAAATCCCAAATGAAACTCTGACATTTAAAGATCTGGTGTCCTGTGCCTATCAGGTCGCCAGGGGTATGGAGTACCTGGCCTCAAAGAAGGTAACACATCTACTTATCTTAGTTTGTAAACTTTTTCAAATAGAAATAATTTAAGAAGCTTGTAATGTTTATAAAGTTTATAAATGCTGTCTATGGATGCCAGTTATTATTTTCCAGATGTGTATGTCATAGTGTGTATTTATCAGACTTGAGCATAAAAGATGGCCCTCTTTCTGTTTGTGTTGCCAGTGTATCCATAGGGATCTTGCGGCCCGGAATGTTCTGGTAACCGAGGACAACGTGATGAAGATTGCAGACTTCGGCCTGGCTAGAGATGTGCACAACATTGACTACTACAAAAAGACCACCAACGTAAGTCGACACTATTATCAATCTCAGAATGCTTGAAGGATAGCGCTCTTGGGTGGCATTGGATTGAAACACAGCGGATGTGGTTACGCACTGTATTTCAAATGTCAAGCCTGCAGGTGTTGAATTTTGTGTGTGCCTCGTTTAGGAACTTTTGAAGGTGCGTGTATAAGCAACTTGTCATAAATGAATTAACTGTTGATTGAGGTCTGGAGTTGGTAATAAGAATATTGTGGTTATTGGCGAGGACTGGGCGGTATTGAACACATCACAGTTTACCTGGCCCGCTGGACATTGTGAAATACAGTATTGGGGAGTAACTAGCATAAACTATGGGTAACATGACATTAGCTTAGCTATGTGGGGAAAAAAACACTTGTTTTCCAACATGTAGCACTGTGACATTTTAGCAAATTCATTCATTGTGATTAACTGGTTAAAAAATTATTCACAGATTAATTTGAATCAGCACTTTTTGTGAAGGTAGAACTCATTCTGAGCTCATTCTTGTGTCTTTTTTGTAGCAGAATATAAATTTGATTGAAAATAGTGACTTGGCTATTTTCTGTCACGTAATCTGAAAATTATAGGCAATGCTGAGTAGATTACTTGCAAGTTGTAGTCCAGTACTGATTACAATTTACATAACAAAAAATGTAGTTAGTAATGTAATCTGTTAGATTACTCATTTTGCATAATGTATTCTGACTACTGTTTGATTACTTTTAGACTTTTATATTTTTGTTCAGACTTTTGTCCAAATCAGTGATTAGTAAAAGTCATTGGATATGATGAAGACATAGTGCTTCACAGCTATATATCAGCAGTGTTAGTAACTTGCATAATTATCCATCTCATACATGGCCTAACTCATTGAGAGTTCCTTTTGTCCCCAATTTTAGAAGCATGGATCACAAATTTATTTACATGACATTTATATGGCCCATCATATTGTGAATGTAGTCAAAGTTAAATGCTATGAGACACAATAGGATGTTCTAGGAAGTACATTTCAAAAGAGAAAAAACAATAATTAGGGAGAATCAATAAATTAAGTATAATTTACTACCTTTGTGTGAGTAATATGTAATCATGTAATCCATAAAAAAGTTACTGTAATCTGATTATGAGCATTTTAAAATGTAATATAATACAAGTACTTAATTTTTGGAAATTTATTACGTAATCCAGATTACATGTAATCAATTACTACCCATCACTGATTATAGGCTATAATTTAAGTGATATTGCTTATATATCTTCAGTGTACTTACATTTTTGTTAATAGCATGTAGTGTGCTTCTTTTTAAACAGTTGGCTTTACTGTAGTTTAACTACCTTAAATTTGCTTAGCTTGTAGCAAGATCAACATAGCTTCCCTAACACTGGTACAATAGACGGAATGTGTTGAATGGAACTGTTAGGTGTTGTGACGGAGGGTTTTATTTGTGGGGTGTGGTTGGTGAAGTATTTGGATATTGGATGGGACAGTTGGAGATTAGAGGGCATTGGGGAGCAGAATGATGTTGACGTGGACTGCAGAAGTGTATTTGTATTAGACAGGACAGTAGGAGATTAAGCTGCAGGCCTGTTGATGTTAGTTGGGCATCTGTATGTCTTGCTGGGTCAGCACCGCTGTTGTTCTGACTGATCTGTGTCCTTTCAGGGTCGTCTGCCTGTCAAATGGATGGCACCAGAAGCACTGTTCGACCGTGTCTACACGCACCAGAGCGATGTGTGAGTTTACATTGCCATGCATACCTCTTATTATCCCCCCATCACTTCATGCCATCTGTTCATAAAGTTCATCAAGCACTAAAGGAATGCAAGTGAACACCATAACCCTGCAACGATAGCATCAAAGCCATCCAAGTGAGCGTGCCAGTGTTTCCTGCACTGGAATTCACCGGCGAAGCTCAGAGACATGAAAAAAACATATTTGACCAAAGCTAAAAGGGCTGAGAACTGTTAAATAAAACAAAGACACATCTTTCTGTTCTTTTTGCTGACTGCACTCAACAATAAACATACAGCATGACTAGTGTAGTCTAATTCACAAAGAGTATATAAATGTGTGTATATATATTTCTGTCAGGACCATTATCGTCAAAGATGATTGACAATTAGCATACAGTTTGGATTGGTGGTATGGTTCTGTTCTGGGCAAGAACTCCCTGCGCATCCATGCAGCCTAGCATGGATGAGAGCAGGGAGAGCAGCGATAACCCTATATATATATGACAAAAAAAACTGAATTGTGTAGGAAACATTGGAGTTTGTGCATCTAGTCTATCGTTCAGAATTGTGGGAAAGTTGATAGTCTTTTATGATCCTAAGGCTGCATTTATTTGACCAAAATACAGTAAAAACATCAATATTGTGAAATATCATTACAATTTAAAGTAATATATTATAAAATGTAATTTATTCCTGTGATAGCAAAGCTGATACTGATTTAGAGCTAAGGAAACATTTATTGATATTATCAATCTTATTATTATTATCTTATTATGAATAAAAAAAGTTGTGCTGCTTAATATTTTTGTGATATATTTTTTTCAGGATTCTTTGATGAAATGACTGTTCAAAAGAACAGCATTTATTTAAAATAGAAATCTTCTGTAACATTATAAAAATTTTTCCTGTCACTTTTGATCAATTGAATGCATCCTTAATAAATTAATAGATTAATTTTTTTTTTTTTTTTTTTTTAATAAT